ACAAGAACTTAACAACTCTGGTGAGATATAACAATTTTCACATATTTTCTTTTACTGAAGTATTTTTTATAATTCATATAGCCCTTTAATTGCAATAAGCAGTATAAAATAAGTTATTGTGTATCTGCTAAGGGTGTAGGCATAGAGGGTGGCTTGGTAAATAGGGACAATGGTGGATGGTCATTTTGGTCATTTTGGTGATGGGATTGGTGTTAGAATATTGAAAGCCCATAACAATTATATTATGAACAACTTTGTGAACCATGATATTAAAATAAAGTAGCATATGTACCAAGCAAAGTAAATAAATATATACTACTTATCACAGTCACTGTCACTGTCCTCTCATTGTTCATCAATTTTCTTGAGTGGGCCCAGTAACATCTCCATTGTGAGACTTTGTTATTACTGTGTTTGTCATACCGAATATGTCACAGGTAGCTTGCCAGGCTTTGCCGTGTGGGCAAGATACTCTCGGTAGCTTGCTGGGCTCTTCGAGAGGGGTGAAGGAATCAAACACGGGTCGGCAATGTTGACTGCATGCAAGGCAAACGCTCTACCTGCTGTGCTATTGCTCCGGCCCCATCACAGTCATTTATATTATTTATTGTTTTAGCAATAATTTTATTGTAAGCCTGTCTCAACTACTGCATCACTAACAAGCCTTGAGCCAGATATGAAAATAATTTGGGAAGAAAGAATACAGTTGTATTGGTCATTCAAACTGTATCTCTCCACATCTGGGCAGTTTCTTAGATAGTGTTCCCTTTTATGCAAAGGATCAGAGAGCCATACAACCAAATGCACACATAGAAACATATTTCTACAGTAAGAAAAATAAGAAAAGGGAATCTTTGTTTTAACCACATCACCAAATATTTTTCCTTATATTTAGCAAATAGGTGAAAGAATGATAAAAATTTAAATCTATGCAAACTTAATCACTTCACTTAATCACTTAACTTCCCGTTAGTCATCAATTTCCTCGAGCGGGTGCCAGTAACGTCTCCATTTGTCCCTGTCGCGTGCTAGTGTAGCCCAATGGCGTCTGTTCGCTCCGGGAACATGAAGGGCCTCAAACCGATCATTCATGATCTTGACGAAGAAGTCTAACCATCTGGTAGGTGGGCGGCCACGTGGTCTTTTGACATTCCGTGGAATACAGTCGGTAACAGCTCTAGTCCAGCGGTCATCTTCAAATCTCATTACGTGACCAGCCCATCTGATTTTCAACACCTTGGCAAATGAGACAGCGTCCCTGATTCTTGATCATCGACAGATGTCAGAACTCCGGATTCTTTCTCTCATTTGAGTGAAACGTGATATTCCAAGCACAGCTCTTTCTATTCTTCTTTGGGAGACCTGAATAGCGTTCTCATCTTGTTTGCCTAGGGCCCAGGTCTCTGAGGCATATGTTAATGCAGGAAGAACAGTGGAATCAAAGAGATGTGCCTGGAGCCGGAGGTTCTTCATCCTCTTAGCTATTTTTCGACGTTCTTGAAGGCGTTCCAAGCCACTCTCTTCCTCCTGCACAGCTCCGGTGCTAGGTCATTTGTCATGTTGACCTCTCGACCTAGGTACACATAGCTGTTGCATTCGGAGATGGTCGTTCCATTGAGAGCGAATGGGGGCATCAGGAACGAGGCTGTTTCTCATAAACATTGTCTTCGTAAGATTCAGCTGTAGTCCTACCTTTCCACACTCACGGTCAAAGTCGGCCAGACTTTGCCCATCTCAACAGTTTGTGCTGCTTGGCTGATGTTTGGTGTTATTAAAACAATGTCATCAGCAAAGCGGAGGTGGTGTAGTTGCCGACCATCTATCTTCACTCCCATTCCTTCCCATTCTAGTCGTCGCATGATGTTCTCGAGGGTGGCACTGAAGAGTTTCGGTGAAATGGTATCACCCTGCCGCACCCCTCTCTTGACATCAGCGATCACTTCTTTGTAGAATGCAAACAATTTTTTTTTTGTTTTTGCTTTTTGGGTCACACCCAGGGATGCTCAGGGGTTCCTCCTGGTTCATGCACTCAGAAATTACTCCTGGCGGTGCTCAGGGGACCATATGGGATGCTGGGAATCGAACCCTGGTTGGCCACGTGCAAGGCAAACGCCCCACCCGCTGTGCTATCACTCCAGTCCCTGTAAACAATGTTTTTAAGAAATATGAAAACTTCAAGTTTTTATTAGCTGGCACAGAAAGTTTATTTTCTCAAGAAGTTGTGTATTTCTCTTTTAAATCTGGTTTCACCTATTTCATAGAATAAACTTTTCATTGACTTTGAAGAGGTAGACTTTGGGGAAAAAATCCAAGTACAGATACTTTAAATTATAGCATATTTCTTTAAAGTATTGGAACTTATACGAGGGGAAGGCTGTAAGATATTTGACTACTTCTCTATTCACTTCCTTTATGACAGAGTCAGAGTAGGGGAGGGGGTGAAATTACAATAGTGAGGGACTGTTGGTAAGGGTGACACATGCTTTTGGCTGTGCCCCAAGACCGCTGAGCAAACAAGAGCTAGAGTTTTGTTAACCTAGGGTTGGTATTAGTTCTTAGGTCCTTCACTCTCCTCCTCAAGGACTGGTGTAATGAAGATGAAACCAGCAAGACATTAAAAAATTACTGAAAGTGTATTAGAGGGCTGGAGCGATAGCACAGTGGGTAGGGCGTTCGCCTTACAAGCGGCCAACATGGCCAACCCGAGTTCGATTCCTCCGCCCCTCTCGGAGAGCCCGGCAAGCTACCGAGAATATTCGATATGCCAGACACAGTAACAACAAAGTCTCCAATGGAGACGTTACTGGGACCGCTCGAGCAAATCGACGATCAACGGGAGGGCCTTTACCTTTTTACCTTTTTATTAGAGATATTAATGGTCTCCTCATTCTCATCTTAATCAGGAAGCATTTATCATCAAGCACTGAATTTTTGAGTGCCCTTTCTAGAAATACAATGTTAGCAATGGCATAGTACAACAAAAAGAGAAGAAATGTGAAGGTCTTTAATACAATGAAACTAAAGAGAATTTGGAACACTCTAGAAGTATGGCCAAAAGTGAGCAGCCAAGTTGAGGAAACCCCTTCAGGTGACCACAATTTTTTCCTCAGCAGCATGTTCTGAGACCCGGGAAAACGGGTTTCTGCAGCCTCTGTTCCAACCAGACCAAAGATCACATGGAATTTCAGTGTGCTCATGCATGTGTGCATGCATGTGTGCATGCATGTGTGCATGCATGTGTGCATGCATATGTGCATGTACACCTAAAGGATTCTCATGATGATAGGTCTTACAGTGTGTGAACTGTGTTTCAGGCACTGTGCTCTAAAATTTTTAATCCAGACAACAACCCAAATGAGTTGAACTATTACAATTCCCATTTGAGACACAAAGAAAAATTGAAACAATTTAGTGAAACTTGATAAGTTCACCCAAAACAAACAAAAACCACCCAAAATAAAATTCCATAGAGGCAGAGCTAGAATGAAGCTCATATTTATACCGAAAATGGCCCAGAGCTCTCAAGGAGATTCCTGCTGTACAATGAGACTCCTCCAAACACTACCATTGAGGGGTCAGGGATGTGTCTTGGTGGCAGAGCACTTGCCTTGCATGTGTAAGGTCCTGGGGTCAAACCTCAACATTGACAGAAGTAAAACAGAGCAAAATTATAAAATCCCTGGAGTATGTATACTCTTCATATTTTCTTTTCCGTGCACATTTTATTTGAAGAGAAGCATATCAAACATCTATTTTCTAAAATAAGTTTATAAACTTAAAAATGTTCAAGGTAACTTTTTTAAAACATAATCACTCCATAATTGGTAAACTTTAAACAGAGACAGTATAATCGGTCACTTAGAAGAGAAGGTCTGGAGCTGGAGAGAGAGTTTCAAGGGCTTTGTATAGGCTTTGCATGTGGGAGGCCCAGGTTCCATCTTTACTGCCGCATGGTCCTCTGAGCATTGCCAGGAGTGACCCTTTAGTACGGAGCTGGGAGTAGCCCCTTAGGACGGCCAAGTGTGACCACCAAACCAAATATAGATAAATGAATGAATGAGAAGAGGCAGGTCTTTGTAGTTGGGGGATGCACTAATTAAGTATTTATCACAGAAGAAGATGATCCATCATAGCTCAAGTAGTGGAACACAAGAGTCACATTTATAACATTCTAAATTCAATCTTTTATATACAGTGGCACCCCGAAGTACCTTTGAATATTAAGGGATCTAGCCCTGTTGGCTCTGAAATACCACCAGCTGTGGACAAGCAGAAGTGTCCATGGAGTGACCTCATGCCCCGACCACTTCCAGACACGGCCCCTTATACAAACAGACATGCTGTACACAGACTGCTCTCTCAGAACTGGAAAACATGCAGGGTTGGAGCTATAGTGTACTATAGGGTGTTTGCCTTGCACGCTGCCGACCTGGGTTTGATTCCCAGCATCCCATATGGTCCCCCAAGCACCATGAGGAATAATTCTTGAGTGCAAAGCCAGGAGTAACCCCTGTGCATCACCGTTGTGACCCCCAAAAAGGCCAAAAAAAAAAAGGAAATGAACTGGAAAATGCAGGTCGTCAGATACTTGAATGGTCATCTCCAGAGCACCTTTATCTCTCTTACTTAGTAGCTATGGTACAACTTCCAGTTTTGTAAAATATTTTGCTTAGGTAATTAACAATAGTGAGAGACTGGTAACTTTAAAATAAGAGAACATCCCAAAGTGTTTATTCATTAACGAGGCTTATAAACATTCCATCCACATACTGGAAAAGCTAATAATTACTCTCTAATTGTACTAATTATGTAATGACAATGTTGTAAATGTTTGTTTATATAATGTTAGATTTTTCTGACTAATCTTATCATTAGTCAGACTTTGGACCTCTGCCACCATGCACTCATGTATATACTGGGACATGCCAAACTGTTTTAACATTTTATTTTTAAAATGATTGCTAGCATGCTACTAGTTAGTATTCAAATCAGATTCTTACCACATCCTTAGGGGGAGGCTCTACTTCCTTCTTTATCTTCTTACCCATTCTGAAACAAAAGTGCAATAAATGGTTAAAGTGCAGTTTGTGAATCACGGTATCTCAGTCCTCCCATTGTTTATCGATCTGCTCAAGTGGACCCAGTAACGTCTCCATCATGAGACTTGTTACTGTGTTTGGCACATCGATACGTCACTGGTAGCTTGCCAGGCTCTGCCATGTGGGCAAGATACTCTTGGTAGCTTGCCGGGCTCTCCAAGAGAGCCGGAGGAATCGAACTCGGGTCGGCCATGTTGGCCGCTTGTAAGGCAAATACCCTACCCCTGTGCTATCACTCCAGCCCACAGTTTGTGAATAATGTATATAAATAACACATCTGTTACCTATATCCTTAGAAAGTTATTTATTTACTCTTTTAAATCTCACTTAAACAGATTTGTGATATATGCAGGAATTATTGCACATGTATGAATGCCTCTACATTCCTATTTCAGATGTCACAAATTAAAGGAAAGTAATTGAAAACTGTTGCACATTAGTCCTGGTTTTCTGTTTGAAAATAATAAAATAAGGGTGAGAAAGATGGTGTATCAGGTAAGGTGCTTCCCTTGCATGCATGCAGTTTGATCCCTAACATCCCATATGGACCTGTGAAGCCACCAGGAGTGATCCCTGATCTCAGAACCCTGAGTACAGCCAAGTGTAGACTAAACCAAATTAAACACCCTAACACACACACACAATCACAATGGAATATGTTAATGACTTGACTTTTGCTTTCTTAGCAAGAATAGTTTACTATGCTTATTACTTATGTAGAAGCTTGAAAGACAAAAACAAAAAGCATTACTTTTGAAACAGTGACCAAAATACAAAGACATTCTACAGAATGGGAAAGGATATTCACCAAATACACATCCGACAAGGGGTTGATAACAAGGATATGCAAGGTACTAGTTGAACTCCACAAGGAGAAAACACCCAACCCCATCAAAAAATGGGGCGAGGAAATGAACACAAACTTTCACAAAGAAGAAATCCGAATGGCAAAAAGACACATGAGAAAATGCTCTACATCACTAATCATCAGTGAGATGCAGATCAAAACAACAATGAGATATCATTTCACACCACAAAAACTGGCCCACATTCAAAAGAACAAAAGCAACTGGTGCTGGCACGGATGTGGCGAGAAAGGGACCCTCCTTCACTGCTGGTGGGAATGCCGACTGATCCAACCCTTTTGGAAAACAGTATGGAGTATTCTCAAAAAATTAGAATTTGAGCTCCCATTTGACCCAGCAATACCACTCCTGGGAATATATCCCAGAGAGGCAAAAATGTATAGTCGAAGTGACATCTGCACTTGTTTGTTCATTGCAGCACTCTTTACAATAGCCAGAATCTGGAAAAAACCTGAGTGCCCGAGAACAGATGACTGGTTAAAGAAACTCTGGTACATTTACACAATGGAGTACTATGTAGCTGTTAGAAAAGATTAAGTCATAAAATTTACATACAAGTGGTACTACATGGTAGTATCATGTTAAGGGAAATGAGTCAGAAAGAACAGGACAGACAAAGAAAGATTGCATTCATCTGGGGGACATAAAGTAACAAAATGGGAGACTAACACCCAGGAGTGGCTGAGATTAGTACCAGGAATTTTTCTCCATGACTTGGAGGCCAGCCACATGTGCTAGGGGAAAAGGACGCTTAGGTAGAGAAGGGAGCACCAAATAAAGGGTGTTGGGAGGATCCTCCCAGGATGGGAGAAGCATGCTGAAAGTAGACTATAGACCAAACATGATTGCCACTCAATGCCTCTCTTGTAAACCACAGGACCCAAAAGGAGAGAGAGAGAACAAAAGGGAATGCCCTGCCACAGAGGCAGGGTGGGATGGGGGGACGGGGAGGCGGGGAGGGATGCTGGGACCCGTGGTGGTGGAGGATGGGCACTGGTGGAGGGATGGGTACTCGATCATTGTATAACTGAAACCCAAGCACAAAAATTTGTGAGTCTATAACTGTACCTCATGGTGTTTCACTAATATAAATAAATAAATAAAAATTTAAAAATTAAAAAAAATTTAAAAAGCATTACTTTTGAGATCTGTAAGACTGTTTTGTAACAAAGAGAGTGGTTTTTGTCCTCTTGCATTGATCCATCCTGAATACCTCAGACAGTACCTCATACATAGTAGGTATTCACTATTTACCTCAAAAAATCATTGTCTATTTGCTTCAGGAATCATGATTTTAAAAATGGGACCCAAGATCTACCAACTACAAATTAATATTTGTGTCATTTTCCCAGCACACACAAAGTTTCCTCCAGAAGGTGAGGTTGAGATGACTGAAAAGGGAGCAATTAGAGGCTTCCAGGACCCACCACAAAAACCACATCAAAAGTGGAATTAACTACAGAATCCCAGCAGGCCAGGTTGAGAAAGTTCACTGGAGAATCCTACCACCATCTCCAGGAAATTGTCCGCTGCGGAGCAAGGATCAGACGCTGCCCAGTCAGCTGAGGACAGTCCTGCTGGATTCCAATGGAAAATGTCACTGAATCCAAGCAACCTCTTCGCCACCCTCCAGGGCAGAGAAAGTGCCCTGCAGAATTATAAGTACCTATAGCAGTAGGAGTACAGGAGAGCGGGCATGGAGAAATGCAGTTGGGTGGAGCACAGTGGCTCAGGAGTAGACTTCAGCTGCAAGCATCTGAGGCACAGGGATACAGGGTGAGGGTACTCTGAGCACTCAGATTTCCCATCTACCAGAGCTATTTCCATACCTACTGAATAGGGAAGCAAGGAACTAAGAGGAAGTTTGAGTCAGAGCTAGCACTAGGCATTGTCTTTGATGTTCCTGGGGGCCTGGCTGGGGTCCATCAGCCCAGAGGTGACCAGTAGCAGAGCAGGCTCTCTGGTGGACACTTGCTTAGCCATGCACAGCCTCCTGATGACTACCAGCGTGGGGCCCAGGTCTTCCCAAGAATTTTCAGCTAGTAAGGTGTGGAAATTCAAATCCAGAGGCAGGGTGCAGTGATGAATATGCTGCTGTCTTTTAAGCCCAGGTCTCTGCACAGGTTATCTATCCACACAGATTGCCTGTCCATCAGACCTTTGTGAATACAGTACTAAGGGGATTGTCAGGCTCTAGAACTACAGAGCTCCCACTCAGGCTCTCTCAATAGAAGTGTTCTGACACTGTGCAACATATGCGATCTGATACCTAGTTCCCCTATATATGTTGTACATATAACCACAATCCCTAGTCACTGCATGTCATGAGTATAGATAAAGGGTTAATATCTAAGATATTTACTTATGTAATAAGTCTCCTGACCCCACGCCTGGCTGTCCTCACTGGGGCACCTGGGAGGGAGGCAGTTGAGTTTCCCTTCCATCTCCCCCCGCCCCGAGCAGAGCCCCAGCAGCCGAAGACCTCCAGAACCAGCCACAGCCATGCTGAGACCACTCTCCACATGTCCGGACAAGCCTCGTGCATGAAGGCATGCGGGTCCCGGGGTTGAGATCTCCAAGCCTGCTCGGATTGGGACTGGGCCTTCTCCACCCAGATCCCCCATCTTCCAGTAGGTAGACGTCACACCCACCAACTGCCGCCAGCAGCAGGTTGGTCCCATCAATGGCCAAAACGCAGACACTATAAAACCCAGCTCCTGGAAGTCCGCGGCCGCATTTGCAGCCATACGACATCTTATTATCTCATTTTTACTTTGGAGAACCCGGCAGGCTACCAAAAGTATCCTGCTCACATGGCAGAGGCTGGCAAACTTCCCGTGGCATACCCAATATGCCAAATACCAGTAACAATGATGGGTCTCATTCTCCTAACCTGAAAGAGCATTTAATATGGCTCTTTTAAAATCTCAGGGCTAGGAAGGAGGAGATGTTACTGGTACCTGCTCAAGGCAATCGATGAACAACAGGATGATCATGATCCTAATCTAAGATATATGACCCATTCACGGAACTCAACAACTTAACAACAAAAACACAAACAATCCCAACCAAAAAAATGAGGAAAATAGCTGATTAGGAACTTCTTCAAAGAACACAAATAGATGATTCAAGGAAAAGGGGTCACTGATTATCATGGAAAGTCAACTAACAATAAGTGAGCTGTATTGCGGATTCACTACCAGGATCTCACCATTCTACAAAGAAGTAATCATTGATGTCAAGAGAAGGGTTCGGCAGGGTGATACCATTTCACCGAAACTCTTCAGTGCCACCCTCGAGAACATCATGCGACGACTGGAATGGGAAGGAATGGGAGTGAAGATAGATGGTTGGCAACTACACCACCTCCGCTTTGCTGATGACATTGTTTTAATAACACCAAACATCAGCCAAGTGGCACAAATGCTGGCCGACTTTGACCGTGAGTGTGGAAAGGTAGGACTACAGCTGAATCTTATGAAGACAATGTTTATGAGAAACAGCCTCATTCCTGATGCCCCATTCGCTCTCAACGGAACGACCATCTCCGAATGCAACAGCTATGTGTACCTAGGTCAAGATGTCAACATGACAAATGACCTGGCACCCGAGCTGCGCAGGAGGAAGAGAGTGGCTTGGAACACCTTCAAGAACGTCGAAGAAATAGCTAAGAGGACGAAGAACCTCCGGCTCCAGGCACATCTCTTTGATTCCACTGTTCTTCCTGCATTAACATATGCCTCAGAGACCTGGGCCCTAGGAAAACAGGATGAGAACGCTATTCAGGTCTCCCAAAGAAGAATAGAAAGAGCTATGCTTGGAATATCACGTTTCACTCAAATGAGAGAAAGAATCCGGAGTTCTGACATCCGTCGACGATCAAGAATCAGGGACGCTGTCTCATTTGCCAAGGTGTCGAAAATCAGATGGGCTGGTCACGTAATGAGATTTAAAGAGGACCGCTGGACTAGAGCTGTTACCGACTGGATTCCAAGGGATGTCAAAAGACCGCGTGGCCGCCCACCTACCAGATGGTTAGACTTCTTTGTCAAGATCATGAATGATCGGTTTGAGGCTCTTCAT